AATTCAAACAGGCAAATATGCTCATTAACACAGCTATAGACGATTGCACTATTACAAATTTGAAGGCTGTAGTTCTGGACGAGCTTCACATGGTTGATGATGACCACAGAGGCTACCTGATGGAGCTTATAGCCACCAAACTGATGAGCCTAGAGCATAGTGTCCAAATCATTGGAATGAGCGCCACCTTAGCTGTATGTATTTTTGGGCTACCAGCATTCTCCTACTGGCCACTAACGCTGTTAGAATATGGAAGTTTTGTCGACATGGCTCAACGCTCATACATACAAGACCTTTTATCGCCCTATACCGATAGAGGAGCACCTTGTCTATGAAGGGAAGATCTACCTAGCATCGAGCACAAGAAACATGCTGAAAAACGCCAGTCCATTACGACAGAACTCCAGCAGTGCTGTCGAGCTAGACAGTGAACCACTGAGAAAAATAAACATAAGTCAGCACAAAGAATTCCAAGACCCGGTACTGAATGCTGTCGTTGCACTGACGAATGAAACGGCAAGGTCTGGCTACGGCGTTCTCGTTTTCTGTAGTAGCCGCTCAGGATGCGAATCAGACGCTCGTCTTATAAGCAAGGTATTGCCCCAAGCCAGCGAGCTGGACTCTACTATCTTTGAGAAGCGGTCAGATCTTCTAGGAGATCTCCGTAGTCTGTCAACTGGTCTAGATCCTATTTTGGCTGAGACCATCATGACTGGTGTTGCTTTCCACCATGCAGGGATGACAACTGAGGAGCGCGATTTGATCTCCACCGCCTATGATGACGGAGCGCTGAAGGTTGTGGTAGCGACATGCAGCCTTGCTGCTGGAATAAATCTTCCCGCTCGGAGAGTCATCCTCCATAACGCACGAATGGGTCGTGACTTGATAGGGCCCTCGATGTTGCGTCAGATGCGTGGACGCGCAGGGAGAAAGGGTAAAGACGAGATAGGCGAGACTTATCTCTGCTGTCGCAAATCTGACTTAGAAGACGTGGTCGAGTTGATGAATGCGGACCTACCACATATTTCAAGCGGTTTGACAACTGACAAACACAGGATTCAACGAGCATTACTGGAAGTTGTGTCAGTACGGCTGGCCAACTCACGAGAGTCTATCAATGATTATATTCAGAAAACGCTTCTAAACCTCTCTAGCGCATCAGACCAGATTCAGGATCACGTCACATCTAGTCTAGAGGATCTTCTGGAAATGGGATTTATTCAACGTGACAGCTTTGATTCTTATGTCGCGACACAGTTAGGAAAGGCAGTTGTTGTATCATCTCTTGAGCCAGCTGATGGTGCATTCGTTCACCGCGAAATGCAGCGAGCATTGCAGGCTTTTGTAATGGACGGCGAAATGCATATTCTTTACACTTTCACGCCTGTTCAGGAGCTATCCGTATCTGTTAACTGGCAAGTCTTTAGATCCGAGATGGAAGCGCTTGACAAAAGCGGGTTCCGGGTCATGACTCTTCTTGGGCTAAAACCCACGGTGGTTAACAGAATGTATGTGGAGTCCACCTTCTTGACTGGCGTCGATTCGTTAACGTATATCATAGGGCACAAGGTGGAAGTCTCAAAGAATCGACGCCTACGGAGAAAGAAATAGCTCGTATTTACCGGAGGTTCTACCTTGCTCTACAGCTGAGGGATCTATGTAACGAAATGCCTGTACATGTGGTAGCTCGCAAGTATGATATGCCAAGGGGTACTGTCCAGACTCTAGAGCAGACATGCCAGGGGTTTGCAGCAGGAATGATAAAATTCTGCGAGCAAATGGGTTGGGGGTAAGTTCCGAGCAACATTAATCAACTCAAAAACGACTTCAAGTTTCTAATCCCTATCAGCGCTATGGCAGCTATATTGGATCATTTCTCGGATCGCCTTAGAGCAGGAGCTAAGGCAGATCTTTTGGCCCTTGCAAAAGTCACCTTCATCAAGAGTCGGACCGCCCGGGTGTTCTACGATAACGGATTCAAAACTGTCGCGTCCCTAGCAAATGCAGATCCTAAGGAGCTTGTGCCTATCCTCATGCAGGTTCGTTGGGTTTACCTAATCGCGGAGATGAACTAAGTATGGCCACAGGCGCAACCAACTAAGTTACGAGTCAAGTCTAAAGACGAACAAAAGTATGAGGGGAAACTACTCGCCAAAGCCCAAGTCATAACGGATTCCGCCAACCGTCTTTGGCGTAAGTATATGTATACTTTGTGGAAGTCACGGTCTAACAGTTTTCTTTTTTTTCAGAAGCCGAAATGCAGCAGGACCTTGACTTGGAATGAACTATTGAGCAAGACGCACCGTCTCTTATCATGGCGCGCCTCGATTTTGCTGCTGCAGGCGCAATACGAACATTGAGGTAGTAGACATCAAGCAAGTCGCGACGTGTGGCACATATACTCCCAGGGAGCTATCCAAAAAAAAGAAAATAAAACACGGAGCGACAATTTTCACAAGCCAACGCCTATTAAGAATTGAAGTCATTACCAACAGGTAATGCCGGTCTTTGGGTATAACGTTAAGAGGTAGGAATACTATGATAAAGGAGTTATGGGAAATGCTAGACTCGGGAAAAGGGACATTGTAGACCGAGCTAAGAAATCATACCGACTATCCGCTTGGCTTGGTTCTCCAAATTCTCCATAACCTACCCCAGGTTGAACGAAATCGTGCATAGCGAACCCACCGGGTAAAGGATAGATGGGGCAGCATTTTACAGGGATATAAATAGAAGTGATACTCTAGACTTCACGAAGAAGAATTGACTATCTGGTTTCCTGAATGTGAGTATGATCTCATTCATAGGTACGATATGCATTTCCCTTCTCGTAAGAGTTGGCGACTCGCAGGTCCTTACGGCGGCCCTCGATTATGGGACATTCCAAGGAGCCTATGATCCTGTTTACGATATTTCATTTTGGCAGAAGATCCCATACGCTGCGCCGCCCGTCGATCAGAACAGGTAAATATGCCAGAAATCGCATTTCGATGCCTGTTTTGAATTATCGATAACAGCTGTAAGATTGCTCATGCTCATTCACATGTAGATTCCGGGCCCCTCAGCCCCCCCTGTCAATTACTCACGGTGTTTACGATTCGTCCCAGACGTTTGACATGTGCCCGCAGAGGACCGTCAATGGCTCAGAAGACTGCCTATATCTCGGACTATACGGCCGGCCTTGGATGCAGGACGCGCCGCTACGACCAGTCGTCGTGACTTTCTACGGTGGTGGTTTCATTCAGGGGTCAGCTTCTTTCACACTCCCACCTTCCGCCTATCCCATTCTCAATGTTTCTGATGCGAGCAATATGATCTTCGTATATCCGAACTACCGCGTGAACGCGTTCGGATTCCTCCCGGGCAAAGAAGTTGCGGAGGACCCGTTCTCGGACGCCAATGCCGGATTGTTGGACCAAGCGATGGCATTGCGCTGGACCAGGAAGTACATTAGCAATTTTGGAGGCGATCCCGATAGAATTACCATCTGGGGCCAGTCTGCAGGTGGCGGCAGCGTGCTCGCGCAGACCATTGCGAGCCATGAGAGCAATGCCAAGGGCAATAGGGGCAGGAAGGCAGATGAGCTACCGTTTCGACAAGCTCTCGCTTCGAGTCCGTTCTGGCCTAAGACGTACCGTGTTGATGCACCCGAAGCTCAGTGGCGATATGATACCCTTGCTAACCTGACAGGTTGCGCGGGGTCGGAGAGCCTGAAATGCCTTAAGAGCGTGGACGTGCAGAAGATTCGCGACGCAAACCTTGCCATTGTCGATAGTCATAAATATACTACGTCCACGTTTGAATGGGGGCCCGTGATCGATGGAATCTTTCTGCAAGAGCCACTTTCCGCTGCAAGGGCGCGTCAAAAGGGGAGTATTATTGCTGGATATGGGATGTATAATACCCATGAGGGCGAGAACTTCGTCCCCTCGGGACTCAAGAGCACTTCAGACATGGGCACACCACCGTTTAACTCGTCGGCGGCTTCTTTCGATCAATGGGTTTCGGGCTATCTTCCGACACTCTCACGATCTCAGCTCGATAAGCTGAAGGAACTATACCCCGAGGCGGGGAGCGCAGAAAACATTGCGGCCTACAACGACACTTTCACCAGGGCTGGACTGATTTATAGGGACTCGACGCTTGCATGCCCTGCTTACTGGATGGCGGGTAGTGCGACGGACGGACGCTGGATTGGAGAGTACACGATCTCTCCAGCACAACATGCCTCCGATGTTTACTGGGTACGTGCGACCAACATGTCTTTTGCGTTTCGAAATCAGTTTCGTTTGCTAACGAGAGATCATGGCCAGTGGAACACTATCAATGCGGCCCAACGGCAAGATCCTCTACATTACAAAGGCTACGCAGGTTTGTAATCCACACTCTATACAACCCCTCCCTGCTCGACCAAGACAGAGCTATCTATGAGAAAGCTACTAAGTCTCGTCTGAACAGGGGCACTGGCATCATTCTTTATGACTGGCGATCCAAACGCTCTGAAACTCACAGAAGCTAACATTTCCGGATTGCCGGACTTGAAGACTGGGCAGGAATGGGTCATCGATAGCGCTGGGTTCACGAGCGCCAAACTAGTCCAGCTCAAGGAGAGGTGCGCATTCTGGGAAGAGGTCGCGCCAGAAGTCCCAATATAGCAGGAATCGCAGACGTATCTTAGACTCATCACGGGGGAAATTTTGATGGACGGATGGGAAATATGTGATAAAAATAAAACTCATGTTGACATTATACGCAACAGAAGAAGAGGATTGGGATCAAGACTAGTTCCTTCGTACTATCCCTTGAAGCTGATATCGGTCCATTTTCAAGGTGAGGTCATGAGACACCAAGATAGCTTGATGAGTGCAATGTCCAGGCAAGAGTTGTCACGGCCCCATTATGGGACTCTAAATACATTTATATATGCGTTAGCTAAAGTTTGCTCATTTAGGCTATATAAAGAGTCCTACCGAAGAATATCAACAGCTGGTTGTCTCCACGACTTTGTGGCCTAGTGGTTAGGGCATCTGTCTTACATATGAAACGATTGAACAAGTTTATGCATCACAGAAGATCCCCGGTTCGATCCCGGGCGGAGTCATTTTGGTCTTGCCAGCAAATAACCTTAGCGGCTGTCGATGTCTTACAGAAAAGGGTCATCTTCTTTTGTGAAGCATTGGTAACTATTTTTGTTTTCTCTCTATTTGATATTATCAACCCGCATTTTATATATACATCGATCAAGACTAGCTTGTTTGGATCGGCTGCAATCTTATTTTAGTAGGTAGGACGGCATGAGTCACGTACCGGCTGGCACTACGGCCCCACTTACACACTCGGCGTCCGGAAAGGACTTTGCTAGAACCGGGACAGCTACCCATCAGAGGGTAATGTCCCTTTCAGTCTCGCCGATGTTTATTTCGCCGACAGATAGGGCCACCTGTGGAGTCCAGCGCCCATGATTTTGATCCGGCTGAGTGGGAGTCGGTTGGGGGTTTAGTAACAAGCATCAAAATCTAATACGCTGACGAGGTATCACATACGAGCGGCGCATGTAGCTCAATACTGTTCTTCTATATATAGATAGAATATTCCCTCAACTTTGTCGGCATACTCAACCTGCCCTCTACATTTCCACTGTTGGACTTAATTGCTCGGATATCATCAAATTCTACGTCACGATATACTCATAATCAGTATATTCTATCATTTTCAGAATCAGCGCCATGGCTGAAGTTCACGGGAGCTGCACTCCACAGTTTGAAAGAGTTCGTTCTCATCTCCAGCAGTTCGTCGACTCAGGAGAAGAGACCGGCGCCTCCATAGCCGTCAACGTCGATGGTAAGGATGTCGTCAACATCTGGGGCGGTTACGCAAATCCAGAAACTAAGCAACCTTGGGCTGAGGATACTATTGTCGGCGTAGCCTCAAGCACAAAGATGTTCAGCAGTCTCGCTGTCCTCATGCTCGTTGATAGCGGCATCATTTCCGTCTACGATAAAGTGTCCAAATACTGGCCCGAATTCGCCGCCAATGGGAAAGAGAATGTCGAGATCCGTCATCTGCTGTCGCACACTTCCGGCGTCGCTGGCTGGGACGACAAGGTCACTATGGATGAGATATGCGACCCTATCACGTCCTCTGCAAAGCTAGCCCCCCAAGCACCGTGGTGGGAACCTGGCACAGCATCGGCCTACCATGCTTATAGCTACGGCCACCTGCTGAGTGAAGTCGTACGTCGTGTGACGGGGATGGGTCTGAAGCAATTTATCACGGAAAAGATTGCAACGCCCTTGGGTGCCGATTTTCAAATCGGTATCTTAGAGAAAGACGTGCCTCGTGTTGCTAAGGCAACACCTCCGTTGGGGGCGAACCCAGACTTCAAGCCTGGTCCTCTCTTTATGAAAGCGATCGCAAATCCTATGATGCCTCCCGACGTAGGGAGGCGCCCTGCATGGATGAAAGGAGAGATAGGCGCTTCTAATGGTTACAGTAACGCTCACGCGATGAACCAAATATTGTCCACCGTCACTCTCGCAGGTCGTGAGGGCAACGGCGAGCGCAAGCAACTGCTGTCAAAGTCTACTGTGGACTTGATCTTTAAGGAACAATCTAGTGGAAAGGACCTCGCTATCGGATCGCCCATTCGTTTCGGTATCGGATATGCTATTAAAGGTGACGGGGACTGGGTCGATGATTGGATGCCTGCGGGCGACATTGCTTATTGGGGTGGCTCGGGTGGCTCTCTTGGTATCATGGATGTCGGTCGCAAAGTCACTATTACTTATGCCATGAACAAGAGATCGGCCTCAGTCATCGGAAATGCGGCATCCAAGGCATATATAGGGGCAATCTACGAGGCACTAGGAGTCAAGATTCATTAGATATGGAGTCGAGCTAATCAGGTGTCAACAGGGGGCTGTATATTCTCTCTTGGATGTCAAACCGTACAGCAACTGGTATCTATGCGCAAACAAGCATGAAAAGATTACAAATCACATGCCCTCAAACGTTAAGACTTATCATTCTGGTATCTCCTCACACCTTAGAACCGCAACTGTGACAGCGACAGCATCAGACCACATCTTATCCATCACAAAACGATAGAATCAATCAACTCGTATCGCACACTGCTGGTAATAAGTAATTAAGTCTTAAGTTTTCATTTTGACACATGACGGATTGGTAGGGACGCACATACACACATTGATCTCAAGGCGTCGGAGCGATAGCGGCAGCCCACTGGAACAATCAGGATCAGCTATCGCCAGTTCGAGCGTAAATTCGGAGGGTCTGGGAAGCTTCCAGACACCTTCTTGGAACGAGAAGGAAAGTCTTTATGCTGAAGCTGCTGGGTCAAGAAGAAAATGGTAATCGGGAATTACTCACGCAAGCGGCTTCACAGGTGCCGAACGCTGAGTTGCAGGCGATGATGGTTGCTGGAGCCGAGACACCGACTGTCGCTCCCCAAGTAAACCCCGCTGCTGCATAACATGCTGTCACGACGGCCGCACAGCCGGCTTGACAGATACCATATGCGGCTGGGCCAGCACTCACAATGGACGTGGATGCGAGTAGTGCGGTGACGAGAGCTGTCGTGGTTTTCATGTTGGATTTATGAGGGGTGCGCCGTAATGATATTGATGTTGATTATGAGGTGTTCTCGTTGCAGGTAGGTAGTTTATAAATCTAGTGGTCAGACATGAACCTGATGGTCGAAGATCGCGTTTAGATACTTGTACACCGTTGCGTAAGCGAGAACGCAGTGGAATATACCAAAGACCGGAGTTATCAGCTCTTCCTGGAGGTGCGTTGACGCACGAAGACGCGGCAGTGATCAAGAAACCTGTAGAAACTACAGACTTATCTGGTACCCTGCGTTTATAGAATGGCTGTAACCTCGCTCCAGGTTGCGAACCGGGCTGCAGGAGGGGTAGATGCTTCAAGATATGGCCTGACGTGGATCTTATCCACAGCTTCCAATGCGTCATACTTACGGCAAACCATGGCTCTAGGATATAGGACAATTAGCTAGCGATATGATTGGTGGCTTTGAATTACTGACTGGGTGAGAAGTCATTTTTGGAGCAACTGTCTGAAGTAACTATGCGTTCTAACATTATCTCCCCGCATGAGGCTGCCGGCTCTCTATGAGCCACAAAATAGGTCCGCTTGTTTATAGTTATAACCAGTAACCTAGTAAAGTGTAGTATAACCCTTTTTCTGACCGGAGTCGCCATGTAGGATGCCAAGCCGTCTTATTAGCTTTTTATACAACTTCGGACTCAGAATAAGGAACCCACCCAACACTATCCCACTACCAAACGTAGAATATGGTCAATTCGGACGCTTAGCCTGTCTGCAATCATGTTATATGTACAGTGAAACCAGTAGGAAAATGCCAACCCCTCTCTATATTGAGACGCATTACTGGGAGCAAATTAAGCTCTACTGATTGGTTATATCCTAGCAAAATAGCAAAGGACATCGAAAGGGGATCTTATACACTTCTGGGTACCTCTAAAAAGGAATATGCTACAGAGAAAGTGTCTTAGATGTGATTCTCTGAGTGACTTTTGGTTTCTACAATCATTGCCGCCTTGATATCGATAGGGTTTTGCTACGGTTATAGTGCTGAACATACGGCACTGTACTTTAAGCCACTAAGCGTAATGGAAATATTTAAATATTAATCACAAAGTTTTGCATGAGAATAATTTGAAAAGATGTAAAGATACGGCAAGAAAAATACTGTGAACAGAATGAAATTCGAAGTTAGCATAAGTGACCCCAGTGTTTAGATCTACACCCCACGTGTGGGTGGATACGGGAATCTCGGATGGCAAGAGATCCTAGTGCGAACCAATGAGAATAATTCTTTGTTTGCTTAGGGCTGAGGTGCATGCATGGCGGACTTAGTGTAGCAAACTGCTCAATTAAGCTTAGGTACTTAGATGCATATCGAATTTGGCTGAGCATACTATATCGGTTTCAAATTCATAGACCAAGAACAATGTAAGCACCTTTAGGTACCCAAATATTTCTTTCTATACTAAGATGAAGCGCGTTAAGATGATAAAGTTAATGCACATGATATATATCTTAGTAAGTACGTCATGCGTTGGGCACCTATGTAGATAACAGTGTTGACAGGCAACAATGAAACTCTAGCGTAGACTAATAATAGAATAGCGTTCAATACCGTAGTTTTGCCGTACAATTGGTGCTTGCATAACGGCTGATTTCCAACGCATCGCCACAAAGGGTCCTACGCGGCCCGCGAGAGCAGAGCCCCACAATCCCGTCATCATACGTCCGCATGTCCTCCTTATCTTTCTTGTACTTGCGTTGAAACGCAACAACACCTTCTTGGGCTATCCTAAAGCCGATTCCGAAAGGCAGCATGGCCAGGTGAACATTAAAAATCCAACAATAATTCGAATTGACGGGTCGGTGTTGAAGCCGGAACTCCCGATTTCCCAGACCAGATAGATAGGCACCCATCAACTTGGCCGGCAGAAAACAAGCTCAGCTTGTACACATGCTATTGCAGACACCGCACCAACGCTGCATCGACATTCAAGGCCATCTCCCCCTATCTAGGCCGCATACTGACCGCCGTCTGAGCTGATCCGGGAACCTATATACCTCTGCGGCCCCGTCGAGATACTTCCCGAGCATGCCGTTCGACTACGCCTCTACAGCGCAGGCGCTGGCCCTCTCTCCCTCGCCGTCTCCGGATCCCGAGCCGACATCACCACCAAACCACTCTCCCCACAACGAGCGACTGCCCGCCTGGGCTCGTCCAGCATCGAGCCGTGGGCCCGATGGCGGCGATGATTTGTTCCGAGGTCCGCGTGTGCAGGGAATACGCCGGTTATCAACGCCCTACTCGCGGGGCGGTGGTGGCGCCGAGCAGCGGCCACTGGGCCAACGCATAATGCAAGGCAGCGTCTCGGTCATGAACAAGCTACTAAAGCTCGGCTACAGCATGACGCCCCTACAGCGCGTGCTAGCCGGCGTGGCCGGGCTCGTCGCCCTCGCGATCGGTATCCTGTTCCTAGTCTTCTCGCACCGCATCTTCGTGGCCCTGCATCCCGT